GTGTACGTGTGTACGAGTGTGTGTGTGTGTGTGTGTGTGTGTGTGTTTTTCTCTGTCTGTCCTGGTATTGTATCCGGGTCAGATCTGACCCGAACCTCTTATGAAGGACATGCATGCGGGTGGGCATTTTTTGGAAAAAGATAAGCACAATTCCACATGTCCTTCACAATAAATAAGCCCCGGCCATTAAGTTTCAAGTTGAACGAAAATATCCTTATATATTTTTTTATTCATTGAAAATGGAAATTGGGTCAATTTGACTCAAACACCACACAAGGGTTAAGAAATAACTCAGCCGATTCTCTGCATGTGCATGATTGATAATGGTAGTTATACACAGTGTTACACTCAAGCTACATTCGAATAAAAAGCAGGCTTTTCTAACCATTTCTCCCCTAAAAGAGATTTTGATCAAGCAGAATACTGGGTAATACACAATCATCTATATCGCCACAAATATTTAAGTAGATCGTAGGAACAGTCAGCGTGCAGCAACCCCTCATTCACGCCTCTACCTGAGATGCAAAGATTAGATACTACAGCAGATCAAAATCACGCTTTGACCCGATTCCATATCACTCACATCCATCTTCCTGTGCAATATAATAACATCTCCATAGATTTGTCAGATATGAAATCTTCCCACTGATATATTCCAAACCCCTGAGGAGCACATGAGTGTGTGGCACTAGGTGACGTGTGGTTCTCCAGTTGAACAGCACCCACAAGCTTAAGCACGGGCCATGTGACTGTTACAGTCCACTCTAAAGGGATTGCATCAGTGAAGTCCGACTGATGTCAGACACTAAAGCCCCTGCTCTGGATTAAATAATATGATTAGATACAAATTTGGCATGATACCATAATCAACCCGGATCCTGTCTGGACGGAGCTACAAGGAGACCACCCTTGATGTGAATGACTTTTAAGACACTTGCTTCTGTGAACAAACATAGATAATATAAATACTGTGGTGTATTCGTCTTTTGCTTGTCGTAAAATATTGAGTTTCATTATGAATGAATCCAGCTCTTACTAAGGATGCATTGTATACACCAAACACTTTTTATTGGGTGATAATGGTAAATGTACATGTGTTTGTATTATTTAGTGGGTGGCGGTATGCACCTGTAACATTTGTTTTGTGATCCGCCATTAAACGCATAACAACAAGAGCAGCACACCGACAAGAAAGCTAAATGTGTTGTCAAAGGTGGAGACGTTTTTCACCGTTCCACAAATAACTACAACAAAAATATTCACATGAAAAAGAAATAGATTCCTGACAGGAATTGCTTTTGCATTTTTAATCTAAATAAGGCCAGAGTGCATCAAAAGCATCAAAAGACTGATTAAGCTTGTTTATTTATAAAGTGAGGCTAAACCCTGAATGTCCACAAAGCCTAAATATGATTAATAATCAAATGAAAAACTAAATAAATCTCTCCCAACACGATTTCTACCTCAGTGCTATTGAACCCTCTCATCCATGTCAATCAGCCAGACTGATTTTAGCAGATGGCACTTTGCATTAACTCCTCATTTGTGACAAACCCTGTGCAAGAAACATGATTATGCTTTCTTGTAGATTGCAGACCATCAACTAAAACTCCTGCTATTTTAAATAGAGTGATCTTATAAAGAGAAGAAGTTTGATTACTCTTTAACTTTACCTCTAAAAAAACATCAATTATCAAAAGGGAGAGTCATGATGGGCTTGATAAATGTTTATAAACAAAGGGCTGTGCAGAATTAAGTTTAAGAAAGGTTTAAGATTGTTCAGTGTGGTCCAATGTTTTTTTAATGATTCAAATCTAGGTGATTTTTCTGTTTGCGTCCCCTTTGCATCACTTTCAAAACACCGAGCAGTCAGCTGACAGCTACAACGTGGAGAGTGTGAACCCAGATCAAGCAGCGTTAAATACGACAAGATAAGCCGCCTGTGTATGTCAGCACAGAGTGGGAAATTCAACTCAACAAAGCGCGTCAGGGGATGAATACACAAAGACATTTAGTGGTTTCAACAACAACACTCATTCACGATTGTCATCATACCGCCAAAGTTTCCGCCTAATGCTCTTATCATGCAAACAAACTCAGCTGGACTGACGCTGTTATCTGTGTATGTATGGCTGTTGCAACTTACAGCAATGATATCACAATTTATTTATGTCAAAAGACATAATTCATATTTTGTACAATATAATTATAATATACTCCAATCTTAAACATACCCTGCAGGCAGACGGCTAGCATAAAGCCTATTTTGGGTTACTGTTTGCTATCCAAGTTACGGCTAACTAGCTCTACGTTAGCCTAAATACTTTTTGTAAGTAACAAATAATTTAATTCTAATATCGTTATTTGAACAAACTGGCTTCATGCACCCCGTTAAACCCTTTGTTACACATCTAGTTGACGGGCTACAGTTAGCTTATTCACCTCCTCTTCACTGGACATGAAGCCCGCATCTCTCTGTCTGCTGTGCTTCTCCCACACCCCGAGCAGGCGCAGCAGGGCCGGGTCCTCGCTCAACGCCAGGCCGATGTTTACGGGCCTCGGCCCTTCAGAAGCCAGATCCCCGTCGTCCGAGCCCAACCTTCCGCATTTGATACGTTTCTCCGAGCGCAGCCTGCTGCGAACAGTGCACGGCCGACCCGGGAAGCGAGCCCGAGCCGGCGCTTGCATGCTCAAGCCCGCCACGGTAGCGGGAGGGGATAATCCCCGTCCCGATGCCGCCATTATTTACTACAACAACACGGAGCTGGCAGCGGCTGACAGCAGCAATCTGAGGATATGAGAGGCAAGATGGTCTGCGCGAGCAAAGGCGCGAGATAGAAAGGAAACACAGGTGCATCATGGGAAAACGAACTTCGCCGGCCCAGAGCGACCCCTGCTCGACACACTGCGAGACTTCGCTTGTGCAGATCAGTTTTATTTAATGAAGGGTATTTGTGGTTTGTCTCATAACTATTTGTGTGAACATACAAATAATTTGTGTGTAAATATATGATTTGTAGATGAAAAACACTATCCACAAATGCATTTAAAAGATTTGGAAAATCACAAATAAATGTGCAAATGTAAAACGGACCTGCAAAAACGCAAAAATATTTTCACAAATAAAAAAAAGATCTGTGAATACTATAATTAATTTACAAATAAACAAAAGGAATTTGTCAATATCTCTTTAACATTGACAACTTTCGATCAGGCATTTGTGAATCTATTTAGTATTTGTCAACCAAAAATGCGCTTGTGGATCTCAAATCTCTGCTTGTGGATCTCAAATCTCTGCTTGTGGGTCGTCTTTTTACACACACAGAAGGCTTCTCAATTCTCTAATTTCCCCTCCTCGACTCCTCTGTCCTCCGGTAGTGACCCGGAAATGGATTTCAGCGCGCCATGTTGAAGGACATCTAATTTCTCTAATGGCGCATTTCCACATCAAGCATCGAGGAGGCTCTCTGGAGGAGCTATGATCGAGGATACACTGGGGGTTTTTCTCAATGTCGAGGAAGGCTGCTCCAGAGCCACTATTTCCATGGGAGCCTGCCTGCAGGCCAGTCTCAGGACACCTCCACTCTGAGGACATAATAAAAATAAAACGAGAGAGAGAGATGAGTTATTGTTATTACAACGTGACTTCACTAATTATTTAACAATTCTTGTTATGGGGTTCTTTTATTGGGGTTAAGTACATTGTCAGATATAGTGAGAGAAAGAGAAATGGATTTAACTTCTGTTAGACAGCCATATGCCCATACATGTTTGCATACATCACAGTAAATATGTATTCAGTATGATAGCTGGTCTAACAGAAGTTAAATTAATTTCTCACTTATTCTGACAATGTACTTAACCCCAAATAAAATAACTCAATAAAAAAGAGTTGTTAAATAATAGTGGAAGGTCACGTTGTAATAACAATAACTCATCTCTTCACTCGTTTTATATTTTGAGCGTTTGCAAAGAGCCACTGTGTCAAGTGTCCATCTTGGGTTTGCCGTCTTGGGAGTTGTCCAATATGGCGGACCATCTCACACATGCGCAGTACCGATCGGACAGGGGGACGGATCGTGTTTAGCAACACCATGGCCCTTTCTAATTCTCTAACTCCCCTTCCTCGGCTCCTGTCCTCGAGACTTAGTCCCGCCACAGGAGATGCGAGCGGAGGGCCCGAGGAGGGAGCCGAGAGAGAGAGAGGGGATAGCAGCAGGCGGTTCAGAGAAATGAGAATTCCTCTCCTCTGAGGCGGTCAATTTAAAGAGACCGTCCCCATTTAGATTGATGACAGGAGGGCCCAGCAGCAGACTACCTGTCTGATGGACAGAGTGTGTTCATGACGACTTATATTACCAGGGGTGGAAATCTGGGCCATCTGGGCATTACCCGCGGCATCGGCTCCCGGTGGGGCCGTTGACCCAAATGGGGGCCGGTCCGCGGATATGGTTGTTTTTTTTCTTTCTTTTTTTTTCTCTAAATTTCCCTCCCAATGGGCCGGCCAATTGGCTACAGACGGCGTAGCAGCTGTGTGCCACATCGACACATATTAATTGGGGTCTATTGTTTGTCATTGGTCAATCAATTTCATGGGCCTGACAGGCTTCGCAGAGCCCTGACAGTTGCTGTCCAATCACAACACAAAACCCAGGTGTGGGCGGACCCTCATGCCGCCATGAGGCGGGAGTCGCGGCACGGGCTGCTGCTGAGCTGAAAATGGATAAGCAAGAAGAAAACGCCCGGGTGTGGCGCTGAACAAACTGCCGCACTAAGAGCTGAAGGTCTCCTGGAGGCTGGAGCTGCCTAAATATTTTCTAAATGACGGACGCTATGCTTGGGCCGGAGGTCACCCGCGCCCAGCAGGTGCTGCTGCGGCGGGAGACGGAGCGATGGGAGGCAATAAATGACTGGCGAAGTAACGTTAGCCTGGGCGGCTGGCTAGGCTACATTTTTGAGACATGTCCAAAAAAAGAAGTAGAAAACGTTTTTACATTGATGTGATGTGACCTAATTAACTGGCCATAGTGCTACTTGTGACAACAATAATTAGGCCAAGAGTTGAAGGGCTGTGAATGGTTGATCTTAGTTGTCGGTTGATTTTGTTTAAAATATGCGCGAATTGGTGACTATTATGGGTCATTATTCGTTTCAGATGATTTAGCTAGGCTAGCTAAGGAGCTGCTAACGTCAGCGGTTCTTGTTGCCATTAGCAACAGTAAACGTTTCACATGGACCACGACTGTAAGGTAGAGATGAAGCTGCAGAATCAAGGCTGTATGGTAAATACAGATGAGATACTTCTGAATTTTAGCACAAAAATATAAGTAAACCTATAGAAAATAATTACATTAATTGGCAATATTATGCCATGAATTTGTATTGTAAATCTTTCAATTACCATTTATTGTTTACTGAGGTGATGAACTAATTTCCATAATTTGGTGTTTTACTACTTTGATTTCTGCTGTGTAAAATTGTCGTCAGTTCAGGAGAGAGCCAGACCAATTCAGGCAGGCCCAAAGACTGCACACCACCACCAGTGGTGCAGAAAGTGGTTCCTGTAGCAGAGACGCACCAGTAGGAAGGTGGTGGCGGCCCTTGGAAAACCGGGAAGCATGGTCTGTACGTTGATGGTGCTGTTGACATTATCCAGCCGTATACCAGATAACAGGCAACAGTGAAAACCATGTATCGTGTCATGGCCAGAGGAGTATGGCAGAGTCACTGTGCTCAAGTATGAGACGATCTTGACGGCCTCAAATCTACCTCCGCAATATTTGAACAATACCTCATCCATTGTCTAAATAAGCTTCAGACGGCAGGATTTTGGACCATCCTCTCCTGCTCACAGAATGGTGCATCGACACAGGAATACGCTTGAAAGCTTGGGAACGAGGTTTGTGAATCTAATAAAAAAAAACAGGCAGGCTGTTTAGGTGGACCACCCTTAATATTATAGAGGAGCCTTAGGAGTTGTTTTCCCTCTTTCCCCTCTTTTGAGGACCTCTGCTTTCGTCTCCTCCATCATTCACTGGGCACTTTTAGGCTCCGTGAGCTTATTCATGTGGTGAGAGGAATGCAATATGTGTATGTTTAAAGGTTTATGTGAAGAAACATACTAGATGTGTGATAAAGACCAATTGGTAATTCCATAAATGCGTCTTTATAATTTCTGCTACCAATTATCTCTCTGTCAAACAGGTTTCTCCTGACCTGCTAGAAATTCCTTCTATGATGCTGAGTCCTAGATCAATATCTGTAGGCGCTTCGTCTGACTTTTGGTGAGTTTATTATGCAACTTGTTTTGTCTCAGATGAAACAAAAAGGTTGGATTTATGATTATTTCCTGGCTGAAGATTTTCACATTGATGGTTTTCAATTTTCAAACATCTGCATATCTTTTTAAGTTCAATTAACAGTATGCAGGTAGGCCTTAGGGCTTCCTTTTGAAGACTTAAGTCATCCTTGCATGGAAGATACTTTGTTGACTAAGTGTCACTACGTCACAAAGGCTACATGGCTACATATAATTGTGTCAGTCTACAGATAGTGAGGTACAAGTTCTGGTTTGCTGTTTCTTGCAGGTCACGAATTTGGTGAGGATGGAAGTCTGGCTGGCTGCNCTGGGGATTATGTTTACAAACATTGACCATACCGTTCACCAGCCCCCACCCCCCATGTTGCCTATGCTGTATGTTGCAAACTCTTTGTCTAAAACTAATTGACCATCGGAATGTGTGGAGGAAGTCTCCCAAGGGGGATGGTCACATTCCACAGCTCTCCCCCCCTCCCCCCCTCCTGTGATCTCCCAACCCCAGTCTGTAGGTTTTTGTTCGCATATTTCAGTGTTAATCTTGGCAGCTGTTTTTGATTTAGTTTTAAGACGAAAATGGTTATTAGTTTTAGTCACATTTTAGCAGTGTTGGGACTAACGCATTACTGTAACGCGTTACTCTAACGTATTATTTTTAAATTCAGTAACTCTGTACTGAAGCACAGTACTTGAGTAAATGTACTTAGATACTTCCTGTGTCACATGCGGAGACGCGCTGTGGGCGTGTTTGTGTTTACTAACAAGACTATCATGGCGGCGGCGGAGCTCAAGTCGGGTTTCTCTGCCTGGAGATATTCTCACTATTTCACTTTTATCGAGCACAAAGAAAATAACGTTTGTAGTTTTGTCTTGGCGGGTCAAAGATCCTATCTACTGCCCAAAACAGCAATTCAAATCTGTTGAAACATCTGCAGAAACAACATGCTGGGACGAAGCTAGTAGCTAAGACCACAGACCCAGACTCATCCGACGCCACTCCACCTCCACCTAAGCAACAGCGGCTGGATTTTAACCGAGGGACTTCTAGCCAGGGAAAAGTTGATAAAGCCATTGCACGGTATGTTGTAGAACACATGCAGGCTAGTTCTACTATTTCTATTGCTATTTCTTGATCAACAGATTGTATTATTCTCCAATGCAATAACAGTACTGAAATGAAAGCTATAAGGGCATTAATGGGAGCCCTTTTTTTAAGTAACTAATGCGTTACTCTTCACAGTAACACATTTTGAAAAATCCTGTTGGAATAATATCAAGGCAGCAGGAAGAGGATTTCAGATGTTGAATAATGTCCTCCAGGTTTTTATCATTAATCTGATGGAATTGTGTCATGGTGTTTGCATTGATTTTAAGTGGACACAGGGACAAAACATTTGCTGTACCTGATACAGAGGCACTGACTGCTTGTCTAATTTTCTGAATTTTGTCAGTGAAAAAGGAGGCAAATTCATTGCAGGCCCTGGTGGATAGAAAT